TAGTGGGGAGTGTCCCTACACTCAACTTAGGAATGCAAACTGTAGTGGATAGAGATGTTTCACTCTTTGTGTTTGATCAGAGCTGCTCTCTGTACCTGTGTGGGAGAACCCTGTGAGTGCTGCCGGGCGATCAGCAGGTGTTTAACTCCTCTGTGTAGCCTGAGGACACACTGTCACCACTGAGGTGGGACAGTGGCTTCAGCACATCCCTTGGGAATGTGCTGCCCCAGCATGGGTGGAAAGGGGCTGAAGGGAACTTTCCCCTCTTGGACAACTTGCTTCCAGTCCAGTGCAGAAGGGTAAAGCTGTGTCCCGTGAGGGTGAGCAGCTGTGTCAGGAGTGCTTCGTGGCCAGGACGCGCCATGTGGCTGTGCTAGGGCAGAGCTCGGTGTTGGCAATCGCAGGGACAAACTCGGGGGCACCAGATGCACTGGTGGTGTTTCCTCTGGAGGTGTGGCACTCTGCAGGGCTCTCACTCTGGGTCCTGCAGCAACAAGGGTTTTATCCATGAAACACGGGTTAACAAAGCATTTTGTGTTTTGTTCCTGTAATGGCAATCTCTGGAGGGGCAGCAAGGCGTTAGGCCCCTTTGCTTTTCTCCTTCGTTTTGTGCTGCAGTTGGGTTGCAGGTAGCAAGAACTGCTTTGAACACAAAAAAAAATAGTCCCAAGCCTGCATGGCTGGGACTTTCCTCGCAGGGATGAGTCTCCTGCCAGCTCTCGTGCACAGAGCTCCACTTGGAAGGGGGGTGAGGAGCGCCTGAAGCTGTGTAGGGGTCCTTCTGGTGCCCCTCACTGTGGCCTCATGCCTCTCCTTTGGCACAGTGCAGCAGTGGTGTTCAAGGATGAGTGGGTATGGGATGAGTGTGCCTGTGGGAGACTGCTGATGCAGGAGTGTGGAGAGTCCCCTGGAGTTGTGGGGTTTTCTCTGATGGGGACAAGTGTCCCAGATGTGGCCTGCACTGTGACAGCTGGCGGATTTAGCAACCTCTTCTGAGCCTTTGCAGCCTTCAGGGTGGCGTTTTTACTTTTGCTACTTGTGACTTAGTCCACCTAAAACACTCTTGGTTGGACCAGAGAGCATCTTCAGGAACTCTTTTGTGACAGAAATGAGTAGAAGAAACTACCAAAGTCTCTGAACTGGGAAACTCAATGTGGAGCTGCAGAGATGGGCAACAGTGTCTGGGGTCAGTGTCTGCTGTTTGTCTTCACAGCTACTGTTTTCTTTTGGTATGTTCCAGGAAAAGCACTGTGTCCTGCTGACTCTTTGGTGCACTGGGTTTGCCACTGCCCTCTTTTAGGTGCATCAGGCAGGCTGTAATTCAGGTGGAACTGGTTAGAGATTGTACTGAGGCAGGAGCGTGTGATTCTGTGAGTGCACGGGTTGCGCACCCGCCCAGCTGTGTTGTACAGGTGTGTGCTTTTGTTGTTTCTCATTGGTCTGCTTTCCAGAGTGTTGGTGTGGCGTGTGTCTGAGATGTTTTCACATTTGCATTATCCCCAGTGCTGTGTGATCAGACGTTATGCTCCGGGGCATTGGTGTTGTGCTGGGATGGGAGGAGATCCAAGGGCAGCTGCAGCAAAGCCCTGAGATTCCACAAGGCCAGAAAATTTCATGTCTTCCCCTTTCTGCCCCAGCATGTAGCATATTCACAATAACATGGTTAATAAAGGGGAAAGTTTCTGCCCTTGCAGATTTGGTGAGGTGTTGGATTCCAAGAAAGGGGCGCGTCCCATTAATAAGCCAGAGCCTCCTGGAACAGCGTGCCCACCTCTGCAAAATCTGCATGAACCCCTTCAATTGTCAGTCAGAGAGCAAAACTGCACTGCTTTGGGTCACCTGTGTTAAAGGCTTTTGCTGGTTTGTGCTAGTGGGAATTTACTTGGTCACACACAATTTCTAGGTGGGTGCAGAAGCTTAAACATGTAGAGGGGGTCAGGTTACCAGCGTTGGTAGCTCTGATAGCCAAGCAGGAACTTGGGTGAGCAGACTTGGCGTGCAGCTGAAAGCTGGAGAAGTTGCTTTTCATGCTTGTAGATGGTGGAGAGATGGAAAATCAGCACTGATTGAATGCTGGTACTGAATTACATTGAACAAAGTACGAGCTGGGCACTTGTGTAAGGCTGAGGGTGCCCAGGAAGACTAGTTCGCAGAACCTCATACTGGTATCTAAAATGCACTTTAGGTTATTTTATCTTTAACCCAATTGCTGCAATTTCTTTTGTATATACTTTCACAAAGTTTATTTTTGCTCTGAGTAAAAGTTAACAGGGGTGTGCAAAGATGAGCACTTAACTTGGTGCAATACCTGTAGCTAAAGATTCTTGTCCCATGTGGGTCTGTGTGTGTCTGTCTGACAGAACAGGTGTGGTTGGTGCCGTGCTGCCCTTCCCCCATGCCCCAGACAAATTATGCATCGTTAGTAAACGTCCAATCTATGCAAATACCCCACTGAGAGCACTGTGCTTCATCAGCCTTTTCTCTCACGCTTTCTGGGGGCTGCTTGTCACTCCTGTTGGACACGCTGTGTCCCTCACTGTGTGTCCTTCCTCCCCTGTCCTCGGTTTGCCACCCACGTGGGAACACAAGTGACAAGCTGCTCTCAAACAGGCATGTTGCACCTTTGAAATTTGTCTTCAGGATGGTTTCTGATGTCCTGTTACTGCCTTATTCCTGGGGGTGGCATGGCCACAGCCATCCACAGCATTGTCCTTGACCTGCAGCAATGCTGTGAGCTGTTCACAGCACTCCTGCTCCAGGATAACCCGGGCTGGGAGCCAGAGCCAGCGACCAGCCCGTCGGTGTGGAGCATGGGGGAGGCTGAGCTGAGGGTGGTTGTCCTCAGGTGATTGGGGATGAGCAGCTGTCCCTGGCTTGGTTCCTGAGTTGAGGCAGCCAGGGCAGTGGGGCAGAGCAGACGGGACCTGGTGTCACATTCTCGCCTCTGCTTCTGGCCGGGAGACACCGGGCAAGGCACGGAACCTGCCTGTGAAATGAGGACAGGGGAGTTGTCTCTGTGAAATGATTTGAGATCTGTGGGTGAAAACTTCTTGGCATGAGTGATCTGAGCTAGCTGGGCAGAACTGCTGGAGTCAGTTTGGACTGTAAGACAAAGAAGAGCATGTCTTTAATAAACCCTATAAATTTCTGACTGCAGAGTTTTTAATTGTACACTACTTTTTCCGTAACATATTTTGGAAGCAATGTCAAGTTTTTATAAATGTTATCTGTAGTCAATACTCATGGACAGGGCTGAACTTTTAACTTTTTTGTGTCTTGTCTTGGGTTCTATCACATGTTCTAGAAGTTGGATTCTGTGTCTGCACTGAGAAATGCAAATTAAACTGGATATTTATGTAGTAGTGTACATAGTCTGAGTGTGTGTGTTCTTGGAACTAGTTGAAAACCCCACCCCATGCTGTGGTGGTGTGCAAGCTGGCCAAAATTTGGTTCATTATGCAGTGTACACTTTCTCAAATAAATGCAGTTTCTACTTTTTCTGAAAATTTTGAGATTTTTTTTTTCACATAACTTTTTTCAGCAGACTTGAGGGTGTGTTTGCAGTGCTGTAGTTGCAGTTGCTGGTGTTCCTGGTTTGTGACTCTTGTCCTCCCACTGCTCAGGCCGACCCTGCTTTGTTCTGCCTCCCCTGACCCAGTGCTGGCAAAACCCAGCCTGGTTCCACCCCGGGGCCTTGGAGGTGGCTGAACTAAACCCCAGTTTCTCAAGAATGTGTGTAATGTAATAAAGGAATTTATTTAACTCTGAAACATGGGAACAAACGTGCTTACATTGAGCAATGTGAAGATGTTAGTTACAGGTACAGTACTTCCAAAGGAAGAGCATCTCCAAAACCCAAAAAAGAGTAAATATGAATTTGTATTTTTTGAAGAATGTGAAATAATGGTGTTTGCTTAATTGCTCATTTTGTATGAAGTTAATATTGTACTTTGAAATATCTGCAAAGAAGTGGAAATTAACCTTTTTGGAATTGAAAGCAATATTAATACTAATGGAATCCTAATTAAATGCTTATTTAAATACTGTGTTATAATAGTTTTTCCTGAGAGTATTCTGTGGGAGATGAGTGTGAGCATCCTGCCCTGCCCCCTTTGGAAGACATGGGGGATGTGGAATTCCAACCCTAAAAGGCAGCATTTGCCTTTACAGCCTCCTCCCTCTCCCAGCACTGGCCTTCACCAGCTTCCCCCTCGCCGGTGCCCTGGGGTGCGGGTGGGAGTTGGGTCCCACCCCACCCTCCAGCCTGGTCCCCGGAGCTGGTTCCTCCTCAGGTCGTGCTCCTCTGGCTCCAGGATGTCGCTGTCGGCAGGGACCGAACAGCTGCCACAGACCAGCACAGGTTTGTGTCTCTGCAGCCCCTCGAGCGTGGGCACACGGGGCGATACAGACCAGGCCCGTCCCGCCTTATTTCAAAGCGTACATTTAATGCGATGAGGCACCAGCAAAGCGACACCGACCGAGCTCCAAGGCTGCGGCGGTGCCGCCTTTACCAGTCCCTGGGCTCCCCCGGCACCGCCCGGGCACTCCCGGAGCCCCAGGCCGAGCAGAGCCCTCGGTCCCTCGGCGAGGCCTCGATCTCCCGGGGCTCTTCAGGGCCCTGTGGCCCCCGGGCCCGGGCCGGGGCCCAGCGCCGCCCGCAGCGCGGTCATCGCCGCCGTCAGCTCCTCGCAGGCGGCGATGCGGGACCGGAGCTGCCGCTGCCGCAGCTCCAGCAGCTCCCGCAGCCTCCGCGGCTCCTCCAGAACCTGCGGGGGGAACACGGCGGGGCACGGCGGTCACGGCACCCCCGGCCCCCCGCTCTGCCCCGGTCCCCTCGGCGCTCCCCCGTCACCCCGGTCCCCTCCGCACCCGCCGCTCTCCCGCCGCCTCCGTCCCGCCCGCGCGCGGCTCCCGCTGCCCGCCGGTGGCCATGGGAGCGCCGGGCCCGCCCCGCCCCGGCTCTTGCGTTGTCTCCCGGCGCCGCGCTCGGAAGTGCCCGCATGGCGCGGGCGGCGCGGGCTCTGGCGCGGGCGGCGGAGGGAGCGGCGGGGCCGGGGCTGGGCCGGGCTCGCCTGGTGCCGCTGCCGCCCGGCGGCGCGGCCGGGCCCGACCCGCACGGTGCGCGCGGGGAATCGGCCGAGGGAGGCGGCTGGGCCGGCGGGGAGCGGGGAAAGCGGGGGAGGCCGGGCCGAGCTGGGCTGGGCCGGGCCGGGCCGGGGGAGCGGAGACCCCGCGCGGCGGGTGCCGGGTCGCTCCGCTGACCCCCCGGTGTCGCGCAGGCTGGAGGGAGGCGGTGGCGGCCGCGGCCGGCGCGCTGCAGGCGGGCGGGCTTGTGGCGGTGCCCACGGACACGGTGTACGGCGTGGCCTGCCTGGCCCAGGACTCGGCCGCCGTGCGCAGCATCTACAGCCTGAAGGGGCGGAACGGCGCGAAGCCGCTCGCCATCTGCCTCGGGGACGTGGAGCGGCTCTACAGGTGCGCGGGGCCCGCGGGGTCCGGAGCCCCCGGTCGGTGCCGAGCCCCGTCCGCAGGGTAGGGCTGCCCCGAGAGCCCGGCGGGGAGCGGCCGCCTCTGCCCGCGGAGCGCCGTGGAAGGGAGGGAAGGGCCGTGCCGGAGCTGCCCCAGCCCCGCCGTGCGCGCCCTGACCCCGCTGCCTCTGGCCCTGCAGGTACTGCCACGTGAACGTGCCGGACGAGCTGCTGCGGGACCTGCTCCCAGGACCGGTGACGCTGGTCCTGCAGCGTTCAGAAGAACTGAATAAAGACTTGAATCCTTTCACATCAGTAGGTCTTGGCTAAGGATGGATCTCGAGGCTTGGGGGGCAGTGGGCTGGTTTTGTTCCAGCTGCTCATACTGCTGTTCTGTTTGTCCTTACCTGTCCCCAAAGCTGGCCCCTGTGCTGGTCCCGCTCCCCAGGACTGATGTAGACACGGAGAGTTATACTCAGCGTTAGGGCCTGACTTAGGTCTTGTGCTATTGCTGGTTCAGCGGGTGTAAAAGTATCAATTCTCTAGAGCATCAGCTTTAAGCCAAGAGGGCTTCAGGCAATGCGAAATTAAAACCAGTTTCTGTGTGTAAAACCCTTGTCTCCTTCCCTGCAGCTGGTTGGTGTTCGTATTCCAGACCACTCCTTCATGAGGGACCTGGCACGTGCCTGCTCGGGACCACTGGCTTTGACAAGCGCCAACATCAGCTCGCAGGGCAGCACCCTGACCGTGTCGGTGAGGCTCCTCTGCCCCTCAGGGACGTCACTGGGGCACTTTGGCAGAGCCCCAGGCTCTCTCACAGTTGAACTCAGCTTTAGCAATAAACCAAGGGATGATCTGTTGCTATTTTTTTTTTTTAAATGATACTCACAAAGCACTGTCAGGACTGTTACCCACAGCTCTCTTGCAGGAATTCCAGGACCTGTGGCCTCAGTTGTCCTTGATCATCGATGGAGGCCCCATAGGAGACATCTGGAGCTCAGAGTGTCGCTTGGGGTCGACTGTGGTTGACTTATCTGTGTCAGGGAAGTTCTCCATCATCCGTCCTGGCTGGTGAGCACTGCTGGGCCTTTTTCTGTGCTTCAAATGAAATGAAGCTTTTGAGTGAGGGTGGGTCATACTTTACTTTGTTTCCCACAGCAGTTCTACATTCCTGTTAATGTTGTTTAACTTAATTACCAGCACACTCAGAAATCCTAAAGAGCTCTCCAAATTTCCCTTTCTCACAGCTTCTGTGTGAAACTCTAGTAGTTTCTGGAGTTCATGTTCTGTTTGATTCTAAGTGCAGTCCCGTGTCTCATTGATCTTCCCCAGAAATGCAGTTTAATCCTCCAGACCTTTTGTTTTGACAGTTCTGGTTCTCCCCACAGTGCACTGACACGCACAGTTGAAATCCTGAGGCAGAAGTATGGCTTGGTACCGGAATCTTCCTAACCCTTGGGACTGGGAGCTGATGGAGCTGGGCACCATGTGCCTGTGCACTCAGAAGTGGGTGTTTGTGGCCTTGTTTAATAAGGTCGATGGGTTATGTCAAGGTAAATAAACAAAAGATTTAAAAAAAACTTTAAAAAGTCCTTTTGAGCTCTTTGTGCTGCTGTACCGTTCCCAAATGTCTGTTCTGTTATCCCGATTAGGCCTTGTGAATACAATGATTGGAATGTTGGACTGATGGGGTGGGGAAGGCCCTGTCTGCCGCCCCCTCCCCGAGCGCTCATTCCATGTTTGTAGTTGTTGCATCTGCACTGTAAGGAAAGCAAACGTGGAATGGAGGGGTTTGGAGCTTTCAGGGTGTTACAGCTGTGATGTTCTCTGGTTGCTTTTCTCTGTTCTAAATGTGATCAAAAGCTACAACTGAGATGATACTTCCAGTGCTTCTGAAAATTCACAATATTCAGGTAACCTGGAGCTGCTCAGAACAACCTGGTTCTTCCTAATGCAGAGAATGAAATGAACTCTTGGCACGATGATCTTCCTTTGTTTAAATGTGGAATTCCCTCTCTTGAGTTTGCCCTGAAACAGTGCTAAGCTGAAGTAAACAGGGAATGGATGAAAGTGCGTGCTGGTATTTATTAGTCATTGAAAAGTCATTGGGAAGCAAGGAGCAGGCAGTGTGGGGTGTGGAGCTGGGATCCTGTACTGGGATGGGACGGCTCCACCTGGGTCCCCAGTGCTGCCCATCTGGGATGGTTTTTCCCAGTGTCTGAGGGCCATGGAGGGGTTTTGTGTCATTGTTGTTCATGAGCGGCTGTCTCGGGTGCTGCTGATGGACATGTACTGCACACAGAGCTGACCCCAAAGTCATCTCTTCACACTAATTCCCTGTCTGGAGCTTCTACTGTAAAATCCCTGAAGCACCAGGCTGGGTGAGGTGCTGTTGTCTGCAGAACATGTGCTTGCGGGGTCTCTGGGTGCTTCCACTTCTCAGCATCTCTGCTCTTACCTTTCCCAATCAGGTATTCCGTGGGCTGTAGGGTCTGAGGGGAATAAGAGGGGTCACTTCCTTTTGCCTGCAGAGGATCCTCTGCCCTGCCTGCCTGTCCCTGCAGCGTTGACAGCACAATGGGGGTGATGGTCCCCCAGATGAGGCACAGCCCTGAGGCAGAGCAGCCTTGCCTGAACGGGGCTGGCTCTGGGGTCTGCTCCAGGGTGCCTGAAGCAGCATCTCTCTGCCACAACTTGGTGTGACCTTTGTGAGCAGCCTTGGTGGGCAGAAAACTGGCCAAACATGTCAGCATCTCAGCTGGTGCTCACGGCTCATTCCCTGCTGCTCATGTTCAGTGTCCCTGCAAGTGACAGCTTTATTTGTGCCACCAGCATCGAGGATGAGCTACACATCAGGCATGGGTGAATGGGCTGGTGCCCCCATTCCCTTGCAGGAACTGCAGGCACTATAAATTTCCTCTTTCCTCTGGCTTCTGGCTGTCTGCAGGATGTTGTGCTGTCAGCGTGACATGCTTGGCACCAGCTGAAGTGACCAGCTTGTGTGTCAGTGTCAGGGTATGTCAGCACCTCTGGAATGTGCCAGCACGGAGCAAACCTGGGCTTTGTTGCTTATTTGGGTGTTCTTGGTACTTCCCAGCCTGAGACCCTGCTGCTACACCCAGTGACTGTGAGGATGTGGTGCCAGGAGCCACAGGGCACATGCTGGTGCTGAGTCACTGGGACACAGCGAGCTGTCTGCAGGGACACAGGTGAAAATACACCCCTGCTGGGACATGGGGATCCGGCACAGCTTCTGCTGGAGTGGGGAGGTGGCTTTGGAGATCTGGAAGGTGGAACTATAAACACCTTCATAAACAAATTCACAGACCAGGGTGACCCTTGTGTTTGCTACCCTTGTGGAAATCACATTGGCATGAGCACTCAGAGCAGGAGATACATGGCTTGCATTTTAATTAGCACTTGCCCTCCAGATAAAAATGCATCTCTAGAACCTGATTAGCAGAGCCCGTTCAAATTCATGGAGTGATGGTTCAAACAAACAACACCAGGCCAGTGCCTGGGCCAGGGTTGGTACCAGAGGTGAAGCTGCTCAGTGTCTGACCCTTTCCAACCCCGTTGAAGCCATGGGGATTCTGCTGTCTGAGGAGTCCAAGAGCCCCAGCCAGGGACAGGTTTTCCTCCATCACCACAAACAGAGATCTGTGATGCCACTGCTACTGCCCTCGTTCTGCTTCCTAATACAGCAAAAACCAGACTTGGGCTAATTAGGCTGGAAACACAACATTGCAATTTGCAGCTGATTAAATCTTTCAAACAATGTTTATGTTAATCTCCTCCTGAATTATTTTCTTGTAATGCCTTGACTAGGAGATAGTCCACTGCATGGGGAGATGCTTCCAGATGGAGCCCAGCCTGCCCTGCCAGATGCTGGGAGCTCAGAGTGAGGGTTTTCACTCACTGTGGTTACAGTAGGAGAGATGATCTTGTCTGTCTGGGCCAGGTCTGTACTCAGAGTGGGATGCTGAGCTGCAGTTCTTGGTTTTGCTGCAGGAGTGAATCTGTGGCAGGAGAGGGCTGTGAAACACCACGTAGGAAGGCACATCCTCGGACAGCTCTTGGCTGAGGTGGTTCTGTCTCTGCTGTACCTCCCCACCAGGGCTTTGCTGTCACACAAGGAGGCTGTTGGGAAATGCTCCTTTGTGTTTTTCCCTGGAAATTATAGGGAGGGACCTATTGCAAAAACCCAGTTTCCTTCTGCATGCTGTGCATGCATACACACTTACACTGTCCTCCAGCCCTTCTTCCAGCTCCAGAGTTGGCAGAATGCCTGGCAAATTTCCACAGGATGCTGATTTAAGGAATTAGTCTGTAGAGACAGAAGGGACCTTGAGGCCATCTGGAGAGTCTGCTTCCCCAGACAGCATCCCCTCTCCCATGTCACCCCAGGCACATTTGTCAGATTTGCTCACAGCTCCCTTTTCTGGAGGAAATTCTGCCTGGCTGCTCTTTATCTTTTTCCCATTTTCCAGTTCCTTAAAAAAATATTTATTTGGACTGGGATATTTTGGGGTTTTAAAGGCAACATGGTCTGTGTACACCCACGTCTTCTCTGTTTATTCCCTTTTTCAGAAAGGCTGAGGTTTACCCTCCCTGGTCTTGACACCTTGGGGGTGGCATCAGGGAGTCCCTGGGGAGGGGACTCTGGGCAGTGCAGGCCGAGGTGGGACAGGGGTGTGAGGGGTGTCACCACTACTGGAGCCGGGAACAGCCCCTGCATGCAGGGAGGAGAGCTCCGGAGGTCGAGGGATTTTCACGGTGGAACTGTTAAATTAACTATAATTTTAATCAAATTAGATGCTCTTTTCTTGTTTTGTTTTGTTTTTAATTTCACCAGCAAATGATTCTCCATAATTATTTCTGGCTGAGCCTGCTGATTCCCTTGCTGCTGCTGCAGGACAGAGCATTTGGTTGCAGTCTGAGCTACATGCTGGGTTCCAGGAGCTGCCCTGCAGGAAAGGCACTCCTGGCCCTGGGGAGCACTCCTGGCCCTGGGACAGGGAAAGCACTGGATCAGTGCTTGCAATAAAACTATTAATTTTTATTGATAAGCCTGCTCTCCCTGGGGTCTGGGTTGATGCTCCCCATTAACTCTGCCCACAGCAGCTGGGAGTGTCCTGGCTGCAGCTCTGTCAGGTGTAAGTTCTTCATTATTCCATGATGCGAATTGTCATCAGCCACAGCTTGTTTGGATGAGATTTCTGGGGAACCAGGAGCTCCTAAGCCTGTGGGAGCTGCCTGCCCGATGTGAGCAGAGGAGAATTTTCAGGCTTTTCTCCTTGATGTATAGTCGTATACACCAAGCTGACAGGCTTCCTGAAGTTTGGAGAGAGCACTTTCGTGCCTCCAGGTGTCTGAAGGCAAAAGAAATGGTAAGTCCACAGGGATTTGGGGTTTTAATCATGAAACATTACCTTTTAAAACCTACGGTGTGAGCAGGACAGTTGGCTTCATTATTCTGAGCATGTTTGGCCAAAATCCTGTGCCTGTTACCAGCTGAGCATTCCCCTCTGCTGTGTGGCTGCAGTTATGGGGAGACAAGTGGTGGAGCAGTGACAGAGGTGGGACAGGGATCACTGACAGGGCAGGACCCACCAGACCTGGCTGACCTGGGGGCCCCAGGGCTGGAGGAGGAGCAGCTGGTGGAGCTCTGCAGTGCCTGCCTGTGGGTAGCTGGGTCTGCAGTAAAACTGAGCTCAGCACCAAGCATGTTCCTGAGGGGCACTGTCAACGTGCTGCTGGTGTTGGGACAGGCTGGTCCTGCAGCCAGCTGGGAATGCTGGCAGTGCTGGGCAGCTCAGCTGAGGTGAGGGTTTGGTGCAGAGACTGTGTTTGCTCTACTTGTGCCCTCCGTGGTTAACACTCTGCAAGTAACTTCTTGGCAATGACTCCAATTAGGCCAGCACATCTCCCTGTAATCTTGATCCCTGTTGTGCTGTCAGACTCAATTCAAATTTAATTTGTTGAAAGTGTATCTCGGGCAGCTTTTTTCCTTAGCACAAAACTGAGGGGAAGGTATCGTTGATGGAAAAAATAATACAAGTTTATATTCTTCTTACCTTAAGGAAGGAAAAGAGGTGCCAGAAAACTTGGCCAAATTTACATTTTAATGGGAAATGTTCTGACTGCCTGCTCCAGGAGACATAAATTGCTTTCCGGATGGGACCCTGACTTTATACCAAAGTGCAGGGAATTAAACCCAGCAGCCTCTGATGAGATGAAAGGGATATCTGTGGATCTGCAGCCTCTTGCTACCAGCCAGTGGTGAGGACTGGCCAGGTGCAGGAGGCAGGGCCAGGCCATTGTCCCCATCCTGCTGGGGACACAGGCTGAGTGGCTGCTGGGGCTGATGGCCCCTGTCTCCAGGGGCTGGAGGTGTCACGCTGGGGGCTGGAGGGCTGTTTGCAGAGAAAACCCGTGTGTTTCAAACCCTGAAGAAACCCTGCCCCCCCCAACGTATCCCAGCCCATTTTGGGGGTGCTGATAGAGGGAGGACTGGCTCAGAGGGGTCTGTCCTCACTCCTGTGTTGTGAGGTGGCATCTCAGCAGCAGTGACTACACTGGCACAAGCATCACCTGCTGGCAGCTGCCACTCAGGCAGGAGCCCCTTGAGAGCCCGTGTTCGGGGCAGCTCTCTGGGGTGTCTCTGCCCTCTTGTCTGATTGTTCCTTGTCGGAGCAGCTCTTGCTCACAGACAGGCTCCAGCAGTGTCTCTGTGGTGCCAGCCTTGTGTCTCAGACCTCCACGCAGTCAAAAGCTGTGCCCAGGAGAAGCTGCTGTTAATTTCTTTACATCTTAAACCTCTTTGAAGATGAAAACACAGTGCAGTGCTGCATAGTCTTATCTCTGGTAGAGCCTGTCACCTGCAGCTGTTTCTGGCATATTCACAAGCACAGCAAAGACTTGTCCCTGCTGGGACTGAGTTCCTGGACTGTGTCCTCTCCCCATACGGTGCTTTTCCAGTTGTCAGAGCAGTTGTGTGCAGTGGATGGGATGTAAATTCAGTGTCGTATGGCAAAGGCATCACTCAGACAAGGAGACAACATGCTTAT